GCTATCTTTTGGGAGAGGAAGGGATGTGCTGCTTTTCCCCAGAGGAGATATCTAGGACCAGCTAAGGCCTGGAAGTTATAAGGAGTCAGATTTCAACCCCTTAAAACTTCCTAACGATTTGAACTGACTCACAATGTAATGTTCAGCCTAGGTGGAGTAGTGAGCTCCCTGTCCTAAAAGCTGGACAATCCCTTGTCGAGGAGGCCATGGAGGGGGGTTTTGTTCAGGCCCAGACCAATTGGATGCTGTGTGTGAGCTCTGCCGTGTCCAGGACACCATGATCTCATGCTATCTGCTGGCCTCCGAGTGGGAACCTTACATTAGAGCAGTTAGAATGGGTAGGATTCCTCTTGAGCTCAGCCTGGTGGCTCATAGCCCTCTGCTGAACAGTTGGTGCTGCAAAGACCATTGCAACATTGTAGACCAATGATTCAAAGTCTGGTTTCTTGGTGTTCCTCCTTATACAACCCTTCCAGGTTACTCACAACTTCTGTCCCTTGCCGTCCCAGGCCCCTCGTACTCCTCTCCTTTCCTTTTCTCCCCAACCATTCAGATGCTTTTCTTCTCCACTTGACAGAAACTGCATCTTCCAAGGTTACCAGTAACTTCTCACTAAATGAATTGACTTTTGCTCAGACCTTCTCCTGCTCGACCCCTTAGTTTTTGGCCCTCGAGGTTTCTCCTCTCTGGGTTTTGGGGAGCCTCCTCTCTTTGCCTTCTGGGGAAGTACTGTGAGGCAGCTATGGCCTGATCAAAACAGCCAGTATTCGGATGGGAACAGCCTTGAAGTCTGACGAGAGAGACCCCTAACAGGGCTGTTTGGTACAAAAGGTTTCCAGCAGCCAAATAAGGCAACATTGCCGGAGTTTGGCCAATGGCACGGGGCAGGAGCCTGGCCAGTGGCAGGGGGGCGGGCTTCCCTCAGCACTAGGGGATGGAATCCAGAGCCAGACTCAGGAGCAAGTTGCCTCCAGGCAGAGATACCAGAAGAGAATGACTGTGGTATCTGGGAGGTGGGGGAAGGATAAAGGAGGAAGGGTGAGACCATCTCCAGGTGTCAAACCTTTCTGCTTTCAGAAAGGCTGGCTCCTGCTGCAGTCAGGAAAGCTGGAAGGGTTTTAGGAGGTGTGGAAGCAGATGATTTGCCTTTGGGAGCAACAGGGCAAATTGAGGCCCATTTGCAAAGCTCAGGTGAGGCAGGACCTAGGAGAGCTAGTGCCCTTAATGTCAAGCCCACCAGGCAGGCCTGCAGGGAGTGAGCCTCTTCCATCACCTTTCCCCTCTAATTTCCAGCTCCTTTATACCCATGCTCTGGCTCTGACAACCCCATTCTTTTTTTTTTTTCTTTCAGCCCAAAATAAGGTTTATTAAAGATCCGCCATATTAGCCAGACTCTTGAGGAATCTGAGAGTCTGTGAGGTATTGGCTAGGTTCTAAGAATCAGAGCAGTGGCTAGATTATAAGAATCCAAGCACCTTGATGGAGATAAGATGGACCTTATATACAGAAAGACTATGAGAGGGATCTAGGAGTGGCCAAGCAGTCTAGGAGGTAATAGAACTCCAGGGACCTGGCCCATGTGGCCAAGGGAGAATGGAGCCTAGATAGGATTATGGGTGGAAAGTGACCAGGGGACACAGGGAGGTAAAACAATGGAGGGCTAGGCTAGGTTAAGGGTAACAGAGAATTGGGAGATTGGATGTAGCCACGAAGAAAGGCCAGTTGAGGGAATTATAGCCTCAGGCAAATACCAGAGATGTGGCCATGTGGGAAAGTCCAGGGTTTTTCCTTTCTGGGGTCTTGCTCCCATCCTCATCATTCCCCCCTCAAACAAATGGGACCCAAATTCTTTTGTGGTAAGGGGCGAAACTCTCGGCTTCTGAAACTGCTTTCTGCTGGCAAGGGGCATAGAGCTGTCCCTGCCTCAAAGAGGGTCCCAAAGAGGAGGTTGACTGGAAGCAAGCACAGGCTGCATCCAGGGAATGATGTGGGGGGGCACATTGGCTGGTACTCGCTGTTTGCTATTAACTGTAGGTGAATGGCCTGTAGTCTGAAAGACACAAATCTGACAGAAAAGACTGCAGGGCCTAGATATATAACAGTGACTAGATTTAGGGTCCAAATATGAGAGGATAAAACATCCTTAGCTGTATTTGGATTCAGATAATTCAGTTTTCCAACCATGTAGTATCAAATCCACCTCACAGCCAGACTCAGGAATAGCCAGGTGGATAACATTCCCTTTTATAGGAACATAATGGGGAAATTGAGCCAGGAGGCTCCCATCATTCTTAGACTGAGGCTAAAATTGACAACCCCATTCTTTTTTTTTTTTGGAGGGGGGGCTAGGCAATGTGGTTAAGTGACTTGCCCAAGGTCACACAGCTAGTAAGTATTATGTGTTTGAGGCCGGATTTAAACTCAGGTCCTCCTGACTCCAGGGCTGACGCCATGGGACACCTCCAACTGATGCCCAAAACAGTTCAGGATCTCCCCCCCGCCACCAGAACCTTCTCTGATTCTCTGGCCAGCCCCTCACATTCACCTCCTCAGTGTCATGCCCTCACTTTCATGCAGTCAGGTGCCCAGTCCTTCCTGACAGCACACTGACACCCACGATAGAACAGATGCTCATCCCATCTCGCCTGGACTCTTGCAAAGGCCCCTAATTCAGGTCCTAGTACCCAGCCTCCCTCCACTGACTAGCTGCCCAGTGACACCCCTAAAGCGCAGGTCTGGCCCTGCTCCTTCCCTGCTCAGAAAACTCCAGAGACCCCTATTGCTTGTGGGATCAATACACCTGGCTGCTTGCTGCTCTCCGTATACATTCCATGACTTTGCACGGCTGACCCCCATGCCCAAAACGCTCTTTGGCCTTACTTCTGCTTCCTGGAAGCCCCAGCTCCCTTCAGAACTCAGCTCAAGGGCCACCTCCTCTTTGAGGCCTTCCCTGATTACCCCAATTGTGTGAACAGGCCGTTTCTCCCCCAATCCCCAATACCCGGCACAGCGCTGGGGATATAATGGGCATGTTGAATGAATATGGATGGGGATGGAGAATAATGGGAAGTAGGCAGAGTTAGGACTGTTCCTTGGGAAAAACGGGGCATCTCCCATATGGAATGCTTCCTAACCATGGGAGGGGGGGAGAGGAGGAGGAGGGGGAGGGGGAGGAGGGAGAGGAGGAGGGGGAGGAGGAGGAGGAATCCTCCCCAGCTGCCTTCTTACCCCCAAGGTCATTCATCAGCTCATTCAACAAACCTCTCTCCATGAAGTAGGGACTGCACTAGCCTGGGAGGGATCCCAAGGTAGATTCCCTGGCCTCAGGGAATAAAATAAGCACAGGACTGAGGACAGTCAGGAAATGATCGTGGTCCTGGGACGAAGTACAAGGTCCCACCTGGAGGGCGTGTGTCAGGAGGGGCCTCTTCAGGGAAGGAGTTGACTGTGGAGCTAGGCCTTGAAGGTTGGGTCTAATACAACAAAGAATATTCTGGGGCAGAGCCTAGCAGAAGCAAAGGGAGGGAAAAGCCCGGGGTGTGTCTGGGACATGATCCAGAGTTTGGCTGAGGTACAGGGTCCCCAGTGTATGTGCTCGATCAGAAGGGGTAAGGCTGGAAGCACAAGCTGTGGCCTCATCGGGGAGGCCTTGAAGGGAAGCCACGGCAAGGTGCTGAGAGTGGATTCCCTGGTCAATAAGGAAGTGCTAACAGTATTTGAGCAGGGAAATCTGGTCCGGAGGCTGTGGTGACGGTTCAGACAAGACGCAATTGTGGGCTCACAATGAACATTGGCAAAAATGGTAGAAATGGTAACAGTCAATGCTGAAGGGGCTGCAGGAGGACGGGCCCGGCTGCAGGTGTGAACCGGCCCAGCCATCCTGGACGAGCATGCCGCGTTGGGCCAAAACACCCGATGGTACCGCTCAGCTTCTTCAATGCAGCGACCCCATTACTGGGCAGAGACACCCCAAGGAAGTCAAAGATGAAGAGGAAATCTCTCTATAGTCCAGAAAACAAATCCGTTTATTAAGGGGATTTGTTCTGTGAAGTTTGGATTCCGTCAAAGGGCCGCATTTGAGGATCCAGAGGGCCACATGTGGCCTTGAGGCTGCAGGCTCCCCACTCCTGTAAACTAGAATGTTATGAGCGATGCTTTTTGTGGTAGCAAGGAAGTGTAAGCAAAGGGGGTGCCCACGAACAGCGGGGAGCGGCTGAACAAACTGGTATAAGAACGTCATGGAATACTATTGGACTAGAAGAAGTGACGAGTACGAGAATTTCAGAGAAAATGGAAGCTTTGTATGAAATGATGCACAGTGAAAGAAGTAGAACCAAAATAATAATACATACAATGAAACAATACATACAATGACTAACGACAATGGAAATGAAACTCTTGGTAAAAGGAAGCCAAACTGTGAAGACAACCCCGCCCAAACCAAACGAGACCAAGGCCCAGCAATGGTCCTGGGCCCTCCTCTCAGCAGAGGTGGACGATCACCAGGGCCGAAGGCTGGACACGCCATCAGCTGAGCGCACGGCACAGGGGTTCTTCATTAGCTCGTTCTTTGCCACAAGGGAAGGCTCAATTCCAGAGAAGCAGAGTTGGCGGAACAGAACTCCCAGAAATAACTGCGACGTTAAAACAGAAGGCATCAAGAAAACTTTTTTTTTCGTTAAGAAGAAGGACAAAAAATCAACAGCAGCTCCAGACTACCCCTTACTTGGGATACAATAAAGGTCAAGAGAAAAGAAGCCAAGGAAACGTGACCAAAGAGACGGCTGGGGCATGAGATGGTGCAAGATGGTGCTCTTGACAAAAGGCTACATCTTGCTGAATGGGCACAAGAAATCAACAAACAAAGTTCCTTGAGGTACAATAAAGTCTCCACATCTCAGGGAAAGGTACCTCTCTTCCATCTTAGAAAAGACTTTCTGGCTCAGGAGAAAACAGAAGAAAAGGCATGATGGTGGGGGAAGTGACACAGGACAAACGCCCCAGTTCTCTCCTTGGGCCCCAGGCCCAAGTCTTTATTCCTAACAGTGTATAAACACACTCCTGCTCTAGCCGGTTACTCCAGAGCAGAGGGTAATGGTTGAGTTTATTTAATTACTTTATTTTAGTGGGAAAAAAAAAACTCTCTGGAATCATTTGTTAAAAAACAACAAAAATATCCCTGGCCAGCCGCACAAAAGTGTTCTGTGAGCTCTTGTGTTTTCCCTTGATCCACCTGGTGAGATTTCTCTGCCCTCCCCTTGCTCTGTCCGAGCCCTGAGTCAAGGCCAACCTTGGCAGGGACGCAATCTCCCCAAAGGATGTGACTCCCTGCCATAGGACACGGTATCACATTTTTAAAGTGTCCGCATGCTTAACCCTTTCAAAACTGCAGGAGGGTAGAAAAGACCCTTAAATGGGTCAGCACAGTTCTGCCCGTACACATGCCCTCCATCTGTTCAACTGGGAACAAATCAACCAGTGACAAAGAAAGAGAGAAGGGGGAGAGCTAAGTTAGAGAAGTTAGGTTAGTACTGTCAGTGAAAAACAGAATCAAATGCCATCTCGAATTGCGTTCTGTCATTTCTTCTTCACCTCAAAGCACAGAACAGCCAGCTCTCCCTTGGCTGATGTCAGATTCCTTTTTTCAGTTAGAAACCCCTGAAACCTAAAGGCAAACCTCCCCTGAAGCTCCCAAGCATTTCTGGAGGACAAAGAGAAGACAGCTCTTTTACAGTAACTGGAAGTTGTTAAGGCCAACATTTCATCGAAGGTCAGTGATGATGACTGCTCGGTCCACGACGGTCACGTGACTGCAGGTCTACAAGGGAAGAAAGCACAAGCCTGAAAACCCTGGAAAGTCCTTTCTCTCTAAAAACAGCAGGCCCAGGAGGCTGTTGTGGGCACAGAGATGGAGCTCAGGCCCAGGCACCACAGAATCAGAGGCTGCTCTCAGCCCTGAGCTTCCCCGGGCTCCCAGGCAGCCAGGCCCCGCAGGAGGAAGGAGAGCTGAAGATGGCTTTCCCAGCCCTTCTCGGGGAGCTCCTTGGGACTTGCTGGTTTTAGAATGGCTCCATGCTCATGTGGCAGGGAAGCTTCTCAGGAAGGCCACTGAAGCCATCCTGTCTGGCAAGCTGGGAAATCCCAACCGTCTCAAACTAGCCTGGCCCCTGAGCCAATCTAGTGGCCGAGGGTCGCCCCCCCCAGACCTCGATGATTCAGGCATCGGCCCGGAGTTGCTTCTACTGGCTAGGGGAAGGGGGCTGCAGACATAGATCCTGGGCCTGTCCTCTCACTTCGTGCTGAGCCCCAGCCCCACTTTGCTCAGCACTGCTACTCACACAGAACAGAGGGGGATCCTTGCAGTGTGGATGAAATCCTTTCTGGCGACAGGAAGAAATCTCCTCCAGTCCATGGTCTGTCAGCCTAAAGAATCCTGTTCTGAAATGAGACAAGAAGGTCTCGGGTGAACCTCAACTGCCTGGACACACCCCACCATCTCCTTGCTCACTGGCTCTGGTGCCGCTCTGTACCCACTCGGCTTGCTCCTCGCAAGGTGGGGCAAAGCCAGAGCCACGGGGCCCCTCCTTCCCCCAATCAAGCTGACTTTGCTTAGAGAAGCCAAGCCAAGGACAAATCCTGTGGGAAGAAAGGACGATGGGTGTACCGGATGCTCTGGAGGGTCCCGGTTCTCTCCTAGTCCCATCTCTGGCCCCTTTTCTGGCTTTCCTTTGGCTAAGCCTCCAAACTGCTGCCTATGGAAAGCCTCCCCAAAGGGGCTCCGTTATGGCACCCAAATATTCACGGGAAGAGCCAACAGACACGCCACAGGATGGAACCTACAGGCAGGCCAGAGGGCCAGGGGCCCCTTCAGAGCCCAGAGCCCAATCTCCTCTACTCACTCTTGAAACTTGGGGGAGCAGACGATGGCAATCGACTCTGGCAGCATCATCTGATACGAGCAGTGTGTGTGCAGGTCCACGCTGGAGAGGAAGGCTGTCTGCGTGGGGTGAGTCTGTGAGCAGAGAGACAAAGTAGACAAGACCGGTGGGCCAGGGCCCCGAGGTCGGTCCGCTGCAGCAAGAGCCAAACCCGGCTCTCAGTAAGTGGCCGGATACACGGCTTCCTTCAAAAGTGGACGATCACTTCTGCACATATACTCTGATATGTGGAACATATCAGCGCAGTGGATAAAGCACTGGCCCTAGAGTCAGGAGGACCTGAGTTCAAATGCAGCCTCAGACACTTGACACTTACTAGCTGCATGACCCTGGGCAAGTCGCTTAATCCCAAATGCCCAGAAAAAGAAGAAAAAAAGAAAGTGGGTACCTGTGCTCTAGTGTGTATAAGCCACCTGAAAGAAGGAGGAAAACCCTCAAACCCCAGAGAAGCTTCTTGTAGAGCTGAAATGTCCTGGGAACCTCACGAGCTCCCTGACCCGGGCTCTGGGGCAAATGAAGATCTGGCCACTTGAGCGGACTAGCCAGGCTCCAGGGGCCAGACACCTTGGCTTAGAGGCCTAGAAGGAAATGGAGGAGCTCCCTCATCACTGGATGCAGTGCATGCCAAAGACCTAGAACGCTAGAGAGAGAGGGGGATGAAGCTAAGGCTGGTCTAGACAGAGAGGGGTAATGTCCTTCTGGAGAAAGGTTTCTAAAGGTTATTCATAAGCCTCAGGCATTAGGACACAACCAAGGAAGAATTCCATAGGCCGGTGCTCACTTCAAGTCTGTAGTTAAAAGGAGCTACTTGAGGCTTTTCTGCCAACTTTTCTGACCAGTATTGAAAGTGCATCATTGTCCTAGCCACGTGTGTGTATGTGTGTGTGTGTGTATGTGTGTGTGTGTATGTGGGGCGAGTGTGTGTGTGGGGGGGGTGGGGGGAAGGGGAGGATAGAGAGGGGTCAAGGCTGAAAGCTTCAAGCCCTGGAAAGTCCATTGTTTGGAAGAGGGATTTCAGCTGGGCCCCGAGTGCAGAAATCAGGACAAAGGGGATTCTTGTTCAGGGGAGGCTGAACCAGCTGGCCTCAAGGAGGGCTCTCCTTTTACCTGGGAGATTCTGGGTGTCACTGAGCACCAATCACGTCCAGAAGAAACAGAGGGTAGCCCCTTCAGGGGAGATTTCTGGGTGAGAAGGTAGAAGGGCCTATGGACGTTGGCAGAATTCTAAGCCTGCCGGTGCATGACCCCGGGGAGGGAGGGAAAAGAAAAAGAGTCTTAGGTCTCAAGATCAGGAAAACAATGGGCCCCACTTTCTTTGAAGGCTCAACGTGTAAGGGAAAGGATATATTTGGATATTAACATAACAATAATGCTAAGAGTGATAACAGCTAACATTTATATGGTGTTTATTATGTGCCAGGCATTGGGCTAAGAGCTTTACAATTATCATCTCATTTGATTCTCCCAACAACCTTGGGAGGGAGGTGCTATTATCATCCCCATTTTACAGATGAGGAAGCTGAGGCAGGCAGAGGTTAAGTAACTTGCCCAGGGCTATCCAGCTAGTGAATATCTGAGGTCGAATCTGAACTCAAGTCTTGGTGCCTGGCAACGACTAGGTGCCCAATAAAGGTGGTATAAAACAAAAGATAGCAATACAGAGATTTTTAAAAGGAAAAAAAAATGCTCTCAGCCTCATTACAGACTTTTCTCAAAGCACAATCTGCAGCTGCACAGAAAATCAGTAGGGGTGAAGGAAAATGCCCTGGAGGGCCTCCTGTTCTCTTCTGATAGCATTTCAAATCCCCTCTCTAGGTTTTCCTCAGCTAGGTCTCCAAAGGGGGGACACACAGTCTTTTAAGTGAGGAAATAACCCCATGGGATGCAGGGTGCCCAAATATTCCCAAGTGGGCTTGACTTGACAGAGGAAGCTAGCACATGCCAAAGGAGGGATGAGGTTTTTGTAGGAGGGACATGTCAGGCCCATGAGGAACGGATCTTCATAAAGTCTCGGTGAGTTGGGAGGGTGGACGGGAGGACCTCTGGCTACAAAGAGCCATCCTCATGTATGCCGGACAATGGGAATGTGTGAGAAGAAGCAGGATTGGTCGGTAGTCCCAAATGGGAGGAAAGCCAGGATTCAAACCCAGATCACATCTTGAGCTGGCTCAGCCCAGATGGCAGAAAGATGGATGGACACAAGGGAATCAGAAATGGGAGTGGGGGGAGGATGGTCCCAGGAAAGTAGATGAGAGGCAGCTGGGACTTCAGAAAGGGCACCTGGGCAACTGGACAGGAAAGGGCTGGATGAAGAAGCCAGGGCACAAGGCCAGCACCCGGGGGAGGATGCTGGCTACAGAGGGGGCTTCCTTCTGGGGAGCCTCGTCAAGCCCACTTGGCAGCCTGGGTCTATCCTCAAGGACACCTCAGCTCTCCAACTCGAGGCTGGTCCCAGCTCCCACCTGCCCACCTCAAGCGGTGACAGCAAGGCCATATCAGAGATCACCTGGAGGCCAACTGTGCTAAACTACAGGGTTCATGGGGGGAATAATAAGAAAGAAGGCTAGTAACCCAGATCATGAGGGACCCTGCATAGCAGCAGGCAGCTGGGAGCAAGCACCCAGCCGGTTTTGTGTTCTCTTAAGGTTCATCTGGCAGCGGTGTGCCGAATGATTAGAGGAGGGGAGAGAATGAAGGCAGAAACATGGGAAACAGGCTATTGCAGTAGCCTGGGTATGAAGTAAGAAAAGGCTGGTGTTCCAGAAGGGCGGTTATGGGCCTGAAAAGAAAGGGCCACATACAAGAAACACTAAGGAGAAGATCAAAGGTGTCAGGAGGGAAGCTCAAAGATCCAGGAAGATGCTGTGTCTGGCAGGCTGGCAGAACAGTGGAGAAATCGGGCAGTGAGAGGGCAGGTGGCCAAGCAAGTTCCATTTTAGGCCAGCAGGACACGGAGCAGAGGGCAGGGTGGCGGCGAGAGTGGAGAGACCAAGGATAGAGGCCAAAACCCAAGCACCATTAATGAGGACAGACAATTCAAACCCTGAAATCGATGAGATCCAACAGGAAAGGATGGCGTGAACAAAGGGAAGGGCGGCTAAGGACGGAACCGGAGAGAATGCCCACCCAGAAGGGACGAAAGGAAGCCACATGGTGCCGCACCCCACTCCAGGAGAGTGAGAAAGCCAGCCCGGAGATAGGGGGAGGACCTGGGGGCTGATCAGGTGACAATCAGGGCATGGCTGCCTTCTATCTCGAACTTTTAGGGTTTTTATTCAACAACTTTGTGAAGCATTATTATCCCCATTTCACAGATGAGGAAACTGAGCCTTAGAGAGGAGCCTGAGTTCAAATCCCACCCTGTTCTAGAAACATGGGCAAGTCAGCCAACAGGCATTTATCAAGCACCTACTATGGGCACCTACTGTGGGTGGGCACTGGGGAACCAAGATGAAGATAAAGCATTCCTGGCTTTTAAGGAGTCTGTGTGCTCTCACGGCCCTCCTGCTACCTACCGGCTTCTGAGTACGGTTCTTGAGAAATCCCCTAGGGCCACACTCCCAGGGAGAGAGGGACTGCGATACTCCAGTAAGCCCCGGCACCCGGCGGGCCTGGAAGTCTGCACGCCCCCACACTGGCAGAACATGGAGAAAGAAAGCGGCATGAGTGTCTGCCACGGGGCAGGGCAGCACTTACGTGTATCCAGCCCAGGGTGATGAGGCCCTGCTGATCCTGGATGAGGAACAGCTCCTCCTCATTCTCTGTGTTGCAGTAATCAGGGCCTGAGCTCTGCTTGGGGACGAGGACGTGGGTGATGGTGAACTCATTCTTCATCTGTCACAGGGGAGGAAAGAAGCAGCGATTATGATCAGCAGAGCGACAAGCGTGGCAGCTCTTGGGGCCTGAGAGGTGAGCAGTGCTGGTCTGGTGTCCTGATCCCCCTCTCCACTTTGTCTTCCCCAGTGCCCCAGCACAGACCTTGCGGTCCGGGCCAACTGGCCAAATGACAAGACCTAGGAGACTGTCTGGCCCGGGATCTTAACATTTTTTGTGTCCTAGACCTCTCTGGATTCCTTCTCAGAAAAATGTTTTTAAATGCATATAATAGAATACATTGGATTACAAAAGAAGCTAAATATACCAAAATATTTTTTTAAAAACCAGTTCATGGACTCCAGGATAAGAGCCCCCGATCTAGTCCAAAGCCCCAGTTCACAGATAGGAAAACTGAGACCCAGAGAAGGAAGACCTCCTTGCACACAGTGCCCACCCCCAATGTTTTATGCCCCAGTGCCCGCCACCTTTACACTTTTGTTCCCTGCCAGGTGCAAGACATCACCCTCGCACAGGACCCAAAGAAGCAATGTATATGTGCATTCTTGGGTATTCTTTAAGCAGGCCATGGGCACTTGGTAACCTCTGCTGACAATGCAAATGACTTGGTATTTAAGAAAGAACTAGAGATTCAGTGTCCCTGACTAATGAGCACAGCAGGGCAGATGACTGATCACATGAGGAGGACAGGTTTAAAATACGGAAACATGGACAATGGCAACATCGAGGAGCGTACACTTCTGAGGGGGGACCAGTGTGAAGGGAGGCCTCCGGGGGGAAGGCCCCCATCACTGCAGGACTTAAGCAGAGGCTGGGGGCCCTCAAAACCAGCACATCTTTGGGCAAGCACAAGGCGAATTAGGTGACCTCTGAGGGCCCTTCCCATCATTCTGCGACCTCTGGCAAAGGGCCACTGCTGAGGGGAGGCCTGGGAGGAGTTTACTTTACCAGCTTCCCACAGAGGATCCCGCACGTCTCCACACCACGGACAGTGTTGGCATCCGCCAACTGGAGAAACTGCGGGCAGAGCATCTGGGGCACCACCATATGGCGAAGTCCATCTACTGTGGGTACTGCAAAAGGTAAGAGGGGAAAGGTCAGAGGCTACAAGCCTAGGATATTCTGAGGGATATGTTGCCTTGGTTGTATTACTAAAGCCCCAAGCTAGGCTCTTCCTTACAAAAGCAAAGGTTACCCAAAGGGGAGACTAGCTACTGAAACCTCTTCTTTCCACTCCTTGTCCACAGGCTCCCAGATAACCCAAACTGAAACCAAAGGTCTGTTTTATCAGTCGATGTCAACAAAGGGTTCAGCTACTTCTATCAATGGGAAAACAGACCAGCTGCCCAGCGGCCCCCAATCCAAATCAGGTTGGCCTCATTTTGCTGGACAGCCATGTGTTTATTTACTTTTCTTTTCCATTCTTGTTGAGGTTTAAATACTAGTGAAAGGGATTGCCTTCGTGGCAGCACGGGGTGACTTGGGGAGACACCTATCTCCTGATTTAGTTATTTTGGGGAGCTCCACACAAGTTAGAAGACGGAGGGGCCCAGGTCGGTCACAGTACACTGAAGGTTGAAGCCATTCTGGAGGTTGGGGCTGTGTTAATCTGAACTCAAGATTCCAAGACTGGCCGAGTCTCAGGCTCTGAAGAGAATTTCCCAGGGGAGTCAGTTTCAGGGGGATTTGGGGTAATGGAGGTATTGCTGAGGGGGGTGGGGTGGGCAAGGATGGTCCCTCAAGGAAACGTGTTCGATGAGATTTGGCGTTCACTTGGTTCTGATCCATCTGTTACCTTATAACCACGGATGTTTAGAAAGTGGTCCAGGTTCTAAGTCGGCTTGTTTCTCTTGTGTGTCCCCAGAACCCCAAAGAACAAAATGCTACCCTCAAAACCATGGAATCTAGGAGATGCCACAGCCCTCACAAATCGCACAACGAGGGGGCCTGGGCCTGACAAGCTCCTGCAATGCCTCTGCCTCCTTCTCTCCTCCTCTTCTTCTTCCCCCACCTCCTCCTCTCTGGCTACCTCAGCTGCTTCCTCCAAGGCCTACTGGGTTCAAGTTGCCAGTCTGCAAACTCCTCGCCACAGACCCGCCTTCGTGGCTCATTCTGCACTCACGACCTCTTGTTGTCTACAAGTTCTGTTGCTGGGACTAGACTGTGAGCTCCTCGAGGGGAGGGACTGTCCACCTTCTTCTTCTTTGTATCTCCAGCATCCAGCACAAGGCCTTGTGCCCAGAAGGTACCTGGCTGATAGCTGCAGAGGACGTGATGCAGCGGAAAGAGTGCTGGACTGGGGTGTCAGGAAGATCTGTGCGTGAATCTAGTCTCAGACACTTACTGTCTGTGTGACCCTGGGCAAGTCACTTCACCCCTCAGAGCCTCAGTTTCCACAGCTGTAAAATGGGGATAATAACAGCCCCTCCGTCCCAGGGCCGAGGACCACAGGAGATGTCATGTGTCAAGAGCTCTGCATCCAGTAAAGTTCTACACAAATGCTTGTAGTAAGTCCCTCCCACCTTGACCCTCACTCGCCTGCTGGGTGACCCTGGGCACATAACTTAGGGTCTCTGAACCTTAGCTTTCTCCTCTGAAAAACGGAGAAGATAATAGCTGTGGCAAGTACTTTCCAGCACTGAAGGCTGGAAAACATCCTGTCTTCTGTGAAGCAACTGTGCTATTACTCTCATCTAAGTCAGGGATGATCTCTACAAGATTAAACGCAGAGCCAGCAGGCCATTAGCCTGAAAAAGTAAAACAACAGGAGTCAGAAGCCAAGGGGGAAAAGGGAAACCTTGCTGTTTCTTGGGTTTTCTGTACAAACATCTCAATTTCTGTAAAATTCGAATGAAGAGAAGTTCACAAAACGAGAGCATGAGGAAGCGATGCGGACGCAGCCTGAACGCTGGCCAGTCCGGGCACCTGGAATGCAGTCCTTCCAGCCTCCCCTTTCCTGAGCGTCGTGCTGTAACTCATCATGCAATACTTCCTTAACTGGGGCTCCAGGACACCTGGCTCACTCCGAATTTCGTTGGATTTCCTTAAATGACACCTTGGAGGGAGGGTTCCACCAATCGTGGCTTCCATGCCGTGATTTCTGCCTCTGCTGTTTTCTGCACCTACTCAGGAAGCTGGGCCCGTGACCACCACGAAACAATGGGAGTCTGGGAGGCCGGCTTCGGAGGGTCAAAAAATGGCAGGAGACTGTGAGCTGCTCTCCTGACCGGATCGTCCAGAATGTTTATTTTGGCCGAGGCCCTTAGGGATCAAAAGTGCTTTCAGGGGGAAACAATTCTTTGGCCTCACCAAAAAAAAGTAAAACCAGTTAGGTGCTAGCGCGGAGCCTAGGAGGTGCAGGATTTCCTTTGAAAGGATGATGGACGTAGTGGGAGAGACTCAAATCCCTCCACAACCCTTAGGTTACTCCCTAATAGTGTTGGTTTTCATGCCAAGGATGCTGAGACCAGCTAGAAAAACAACTGGGTTCCCCACCAGCCATGGGGCCTAGGGTAACGGCCCATTCTCCACTGCCCCTGCCTGTAGCCACAATGACTAGTGGCAGCAACAAGTCGCTGAACTTTTTCAAGTGGGTTTCTCTCACCACCCACTTAGCCAGCTCCTCTTTTGGAAGGGAGCTTTTTGGTGTCTGGTGACACCAACCCAGGCTCTACCCCAAAGGTCAGGGAAAGACTCACTATGCTCTGGGCTGCTCAGAGCTCCGGGCTTCAAGGATCTGTCCACCGCCGGGGGCTTGGCTGGCCCTGGCCACGGGCTGGGGAGGCCAGGCGCTGGAGGAAACACTTCTGTCGGGGGCCTCTCTACACCAGGCACCAGGGGACCACCCAGAACCTCAGGAGCTGCGTCTGGCCTCCCAAACTCCTGCACTATCCGCAGCCGCTCCTTTTCCAGCTCCTGCCGACGGATCATTTCTTCAAAGGCATGAAACTGCTCCTGCTCTGCCTGCTGCTGCTTCTGCTGGGCTACTCTCTGCCGTTCCTCTTCCAGCTGCTGCTGGATGGCCAAGTTTCGAGCAAACTCCTCTGTTTCCTTCTTCTGCAAAGAAAGAGAGTGACTTGGGCTCACACTGCAGTGGTTCCAAACCTCAGGAAGACTACCCAACAGACACACTCAACTGCAGCTACACAGGCCTTCTTACTGCGCCTCCACCCCCTCACCACCACACACACATCTCGCCTACACCCTCCTTCTTCCTGGAGCTGGTCCTCATCATCTCTTGACCGGCAACTTCTAATTGGTCTCTTCCCACCACACTCGTCTGCCAACGGGATGCTCCTGAAGCACTTTCTGACCACGTCACCCCTTTCTCAATGAGGTTCCATGGCTCCCTATTACCTCGAGTGTCAACTATAAAGGTCTTTGGGGGGCATTTAAAGATCTTCACAGTTTGGCTCCAGCCCACCCAATGTTTTTACACTCTCCTCCCCTCTGTCTACTCCATGATTGAGCCACAGTGGCAGCCTTGCTGTTCCCGGCCCACTACAATCCATCTCTCCTCTCAGGTTCTCCCAGGTCTTCCTCCGCCATCCCCGCCCCAGGCCACTGCTAGAGGCTTTCTCTTTAAAGCCACCTTCTCCTCACTCGGTGTACCTAATGATCATCATGTTATCGCCTTCCCATTGGAATGTGAGCTGCTGGAGGGAAGGGACCGCTCGTGCCCTTCTTGGCATCACGAGGGCTTCACCCGAGGCTGGACACCCAGCCAGAGCTTCCCGACAGCTGCTCCCCTGTCCTGCTTGGGTTCATGGGGCCCGTCGTGCTGTTAGACCTCTGGGAGCAGCCCTCCCCTCTGCCAATCCAAGGCTCAGTGCAGAGTTCTGAAGACTCCATCCCTGTTTCCCTAATTTCTATTGCATTTCTTGTGGGTATTTATTCCTTATTTCAGCATTTTGCCATCTACACACACCCTGGAAATAGGAAGCACAAATATTCCGTCCTCTTTTCTACAATCGAGGAAGCAGACTCAGAGAGGTGATTGCCCCCAGTGTCCAAACAACCACTGGAATACCACCACTAACTGAAGACCCCACTGCCTTTTCCATAACATAGAGTGCCGTGGAGAAAGCACCAGACTTTGAATCAGAAGACCTGGGTTCAAATCCAGCCTCAGGTAGTTACTGGTTGTGTGACCCTGTGCAAGTTACTTATCCTCTGCCTGCCTCAGTTTCCTTATCTATAAAATGGGAATAATGGGAGGCACCTACCTGTCAGGGTTCTTGTGGAGCTCAAATGAGGAAACGGATGAAAAATGTTTGCAAACCTTAAAGCGCTACAGAAATGTGTGAGCTATTGTGACGACTACCGTATCATGGCCACCTCCTGGAAGGAGGAGGCAGCAGGTCAGGCTGAGCCACTGGCCCAGGAAATCAGCAGAGGCTCCTGGTTGCCACACTGACCTTTCTCCCATTGTATTCCACATATTCTTTGGTATATCTCTTTAGCAGCTCCTTCTTCAACTCTTCCGCTTTGGGAAATGCGATCTCTTTTAGTTTCTGGGACACAACAAAGAGAAGGGATGTTAGGGGCATTCCCATCTTGTCTCATTGTGGGGCTGAATGCACAGCGTTAACAACGAATTAAAGAAAGCATGCAGACGTGACTAAGATTCCACAAAGCAATCAGAGGCCTCTCCCTGGCTCCTCTGCAGAGCCGGGCAGCACACGGGGAGGGGGACCTCAGCTCTTGTCACCATTCTGATCAGCTCTCTTTTTTTTGTTTTTCCTTTTTCTCCTCTTTTTCTTTTTAAACTTCTTTGCTATGAAGGATGGCCCTTGAGGAGGGGGAGGAAGAGCGATGGGGGGAAACGAAAAGACGCCAGGATGAATAAAAACAAACAGAAGGACAGCCTGGTCCAGGTTGGCTGTGGCAGGACAAAGCAGCCGAGGCAGACCCCGCTCGGCAGGGCCAGGCCGGAGCCTTTCACAGGGAGGGCAGCGCTGGGGGCTCTGCAGGAGCGCGAGCGAGCTCACCTTCACAGTTTCTTTCTTTTCAGGGATGACTGCCGTCTTGTAGTCTCTGTGCTTTGGTAGCTTCTCAAGAAAAAGCCTAAGAGAGAACACAGCAGACTGAGTATGCCTCCAGGAAGAAGGCACAGGGACCCTGACCTGACGTGCCTCTGGTTTCTGTGGGCCAGCATGAGCGCTCACCATCGGCACTGGCGGGCAAGACCAGGGACACGCAAGCAGGCGGCAGGCAAAGGCCCACCTCGGCAATGCCTCACTGCCAAAGGGCTCTCCTTAGGACCAGGAAGGGTGAGCAAGGAGGCACTGCCCATCAGCCCAGGCCTGCGAGATGGCCTCAGGAAGCCCGGGTCAGACCCACACAAACATGCCACTGCCTGTTCTGAAGAAGTCAAACTCATGCCTGTCCAGTTGTGGTACTTTTACCTCCAAGCAAAAGGTTTTTGAACTAGGCAAAGAGATGCATTTCTGAATGGGAGAACTAATGGGCAAAAGGGATTTTTGGGATATGGTTCTGTGCCTCTGGATGCTGGCTGGACTCTGGCCAGCCCTGGGTTCTGCTGCAACAGTGGCCTCATGTGGGCCTCGTGCTCCTTCAGGGGCTTCCGTGGCCTGCACCACACGCTGCCCCTTGTCTTGTTCCAACCAGGGGTCCGACCCCACAGGCTGGATGGGGTGTTGAGCATAAGTATGTCACGTTTGTCTTTCCTGAGAAACAAAAGCGGCGAGAGAGTCCTCTGGCTCTCCTCCAAAGGGAGGGAAGGCACTCACGGAGCCTCCTTAGCTGCAATCAAGTACCAGCCTTGGGAAGCACTGTTTACTCCGGGCATCAGGAAGCGACTACGATGGACTGCCTCTGAAATGTTAACAAGGGTCGCAATTTTGCTCCACGTGGAAATCTGCCTCCAGAAGTTAACAGACACGTTAGAGGACCTCAGAATGGAGACTGCTTTTAACAGGACGGAATCCAAATAAACAGAAACAGAGGCCAAAACAAACAGCGGGAGCATGAACTGCCAACAGCCCTGAAATCCCAGAGCCGGCGTGGGCTGGGCCAGCCGGCCTTCCCTCCGTCCTCAGGAGCAGAGGCAGGGGAGGGATGGAGAGGGAGGAGCCTCGGCCTGGGGCCAGCGGAGCAGGCAAGGAGCAAAGGCTCCCACCTGTCACCTCGGGAGCACAGACGCTGCCTCAAAGGAAACCAAAGCAAAGAACTGGGTCAGCCTGCCAGCCTCGGTGCCCCTACCCGCTGGCCCCCTTCCTTTCCTCTTACTGCGCAGCTGCTGCCTCTCCAAAGAAAGGCAAAAACCTAGTCTCTGCCCTCAAAGAGCTCACACTCGAACAGGGAGACAAACGAACAACTATGTATGTACAAGATACCTGCACAGGAAATGGGAGATACTCTAGGCACTTAGATGGTGCCAAGGAGAGGAAGCGAGACCTAGTGTCAGAAAGACCCTTACTGTCTCTGTGACCCTGGGCAAGTCACTTGATCTCCGCCTCAGTTTCCTCATCTGTAAAATGGACATAGTAACAGGACCTACTGGCCAGAGCTCTCGTGAGGGGAGGGGCACCCCTAAGGACTCTCCTTGCCTCTGACTGGACAGGGCAGACATCAGAGAGCTCCTTCCACAACCTCCATTTAACAACAACAACAATAAAATAAGAACGACGATGAAGATGGTGATAGCTATCATTTATATAGTGCCTACTATGTGCTAAGCACTTCACAATGATCTCATTTGGTCCTTATAACAACCTTGGAAGGTAGGTATAATTATTATCCCCATTTTACAGATGAGGACTCTGATGCAAACAGAGGTTAGGTGAATTGCCCAAGGTCACACAGCTAGTACGTACGTGAGGTCACATTTGAACTCAGGTCTTCCTGACTCCAGGCCTGGAACTCTAACCACTATACCACCTATCTGGCTGTCCCAAGGCAAACTCAGTATCCTGAAGGATCAAATAATTTCTGGAACTCACATCCCTTCCTCTGACTGGATGGGGTGGAGGGTGGGCATCAGAGACTTCCTCCCAAACCCTCAACTTAAGAAAGGGGGCCAGGCTGGACACCTCATCATTTCTCCCCTGAAAGGCGGACTTCCTCATGCCCTTGTGCTGGGTACTGTCCCTCCCCCAGCTCCCTTTTGGGGTTCTCCTCCAGCAGACAGGAGCCCCTTAAGAGCAGGGACTCCTTCCTGGGTCTGAAGCCTGCAGCAAGGCCTGCCCGGCATTTTTACTTTCTCCTAGTAATCTCAACAGAATGGCTAACACATGCCACTGATGAAAACCACCAGCGACCCCCAGAAAGGTCACATGCCCGGTGGAGGCCGGGTACTTGACTTGGAACCCAGTGCTCTGTGGGGAGTATCCTACCTCACTGTTCTGCATCCCTCAGGAAGGCCAATGGTGGACAAAGGCTTTGGGCTCAGGGTACTTGTCACTGACCAGCCAATGAGGGAGTGTGTCCTCCAGGCAAACTGGAAAGTCCTCACAGCTTCCCCAATGGTCCCTCTCCCACCTCTGCTCCTACTTTTCAATCACCTTTCAGAATCCTATCAATCCTTCGATGCCACCACCTCCCAGAAGCTCTCTGGAAAGCTCGTACCTGAGAATGAGCTCCTTCTGCTCTGACCGGAGCACCTACTGCCTTCACTACTCCTGGAGCCTCTGGGGTAGACTAGACTCTACCGTAACAGAGTGTACCATTCGTCTGTCCCACCACACCACTCCTTCACCCACCAGGCATTGTGCACGGTGCAGGAACTGGGTAGACACAAAGATAACGTGACAATCTCTGTCTTCAAGGAACCTAGCATCTAGCCAGAGCAGATGAACATGCCAAAAATGAGATTTGAAGCTCAGGAAGTTATAAAGTGCTCTGAGGTTGGATAAGGAAGAAATCGATCCATTCAAGCTACGGGGAAGCCAGGAAGGCTTCCTGGATCTGACAGGGCTTTTGACTTGCCAGCCTGCCAGCCTTAGAGGACAATGAGGATATTATGAAGCCAAAATGGAGGGAGGGCAGTCTTGAAGTAGGGAACAGTTTAAGCAAAAGTTTGGAGGTGAGAAAGTACACAGCATGTTTAGAGAACAGCAAACAATTCAGTTTCACTCTAGTGTGGCACAGGCAAAGGAAGGGAATGTGAGATAGGGCTACAAAGGCAGGCCAGAGTCAGAGGGGGAAGGGCCTTGAATGCCAGCCAAAGGAGACCCCCTGAAGGCATTTGGGTCATGGAGATCAATATGCAGCAGGAGGATCAGAGGGGAAGAAGAGCATTGGCATGTAAGGGTGGGTAGTAAGGGCCTCGATGAGCCCGGCGGTAGGCTGGGGAGGCAGGGGTGACTCTGTGGGTAGAGGGACGATGGAAGGTCTCGGCGAGGTCCCAGGGAGGTCACTGGGAGAACAGCGCAAGTTAGGATAAGGAAGAAGGTTCAGAGGGAAACCGAGGAGGGGGGCTGCTGGCAGAGGGAGGGGCCGGGGGCCTGGAGGCAGGGATACTCCTCGCCACTCTGCTCAGCACTGTCCCTTCACTGCAGCAGGCACCCAGCAAGAAGCAGCCAAAGGGACGTAGACTGTTGCCCCCTGCCAGGATCTGCCAATGCCCTGGATGGACCTTAGGGCTTGTTTGCTTGATCTCCACCTGAACAAGTCTAGAGGTTATTTCAATTCCACTTGAAACAGTCCCTTGGACAGGGATGCAAATAAGTGCCTACTATGTGCAAAGCAGTCTAATTGCCTGAGTTCAAATCCTGTCTTAGACACTTGCTCCCCGTGTGACCTTGGCCAACTCACTTCCCATTCCTGGGCCTCAGTTCCCTCCTCTATAAAACGAGGGGGTTACATTAGATGGCTTCTGAGGTCCCTTCCACCTTCAGGACCATGACCCTGCCAGGCAAGGCCACTGGAGGATCTGTGATTTCTCTGGGCAGAAGTGTGATGGGATGGAAGATGAATCAGGGAGCCACCTCCCCTAAGAGAACAGAAGCCCTCTCCCACTTAGGAGATGTTCTTTGAGAATGGTTGAGGCTAAAAATGTGGTCAGCTCCCAGCCGACACAGCCAGGAAGAGTGAATTTAGCAAAGATCTCTGGCCCAAAGCCACGCAGTCCATCTACACCTGGGCCCAGACCTCAAAGGCTTACAGCCAGAACCCCTGCTGCGAAAGCCTTGGAGAAACCAAGCCCTCTGAAGCCAGACTGGGACCTTGTCCCTGCCTGTGAGGCCAAGGCAGCTCCTGGGGCACCGTGCACTGGGCAGGGCTTTGGAATGGGCAGAGCAGTCACTGCATACGTAAATACCTACGTCCATGTGTACACACGTACGTACACACGTACACACACACACACGCATGCACGTGCACACCACTATATCATGCTCAGCAAAGCCTTCCGACATCTGGGCAGCCAAAGGAGAATCTCCCTGAGGGGAGTGACTATGTCTCTGGCCTCTCTGTAGTCCCTACCATGCACAGCAGAAGATCACAAAGTGTTTCCAGCATGAACTAATAAATCTTCCAACACAATCCTCGCCTTCCTCCCATGTGCCAGGCACTGTGCTGAGCCATGGGGAAACAAAACCAAAAGACAATCTTGTTTCTACTTTCAAGGCATTTAGACTCTAATTAAGGAAGTTTGGAAAAGGCAGAGACAGTCAAGTTACAAAGGTAAGACAGTTCTGATATGGTGATGGCAAGGGAATGACTTGCCCAAGGCCACTAGAAGAGTCAGCAGTTAATGGGAAAATAGTACCCAAGAGTCTTTGGGGCAGCCGGGTGGCGCAGGGGACAGAGCACTGGGCTCGGAGTCAGGAAGACTAGAGTTCACATCTGAGCTCGGACAAGTAATACTAGCTCTGTGACTCTGGGCACGTCGCTTAACCCCGACCTAAAACTGGAGAAGGAAATGGCAAAGCCCTCCTGCATCTCTGCATGGGTATTCAGTCCAGGGGACACAAAGAGAAGAGTCAGATAAGACTGAACCACAACGAGGTTGAGCTCCCAGAGATTCATCGATTTAGAGGCAAGAGGGGCATCAGACATCCCCTGATCCAACCTCTTCATCCCACAGATCCAGGAAACTGAGGCTCCGCAAGGGGAAGTCAACTGCTCAAGTTTATGTAACTAGTCAATGGCAAAGCTGAGGCTCGTAGTGGGAGGCAGCAAGATCTCCAAGCAGACATTACAGTTGGGTGCCTCTTCCATATGGGCTGGACTACTTGGTCACTGAGATCCCTTCCACCTCCAAAATTCTGTGCTCCCATCTTCTGATGCCTAGGCCACGACTCCACCTGCTAGGCCGTCGAGAAAGCTTTCTACACAGGCAGCCTCCCTGGCCAGGCAACGGAGCCTCCCATCCACCCCCAGCACAGAGACGATCACCAGAAGAACAGGCTGATTCATGTTAGCGCTGCGGCAGGTACTGAACACCTGCAGCCCAGATGTGGACAGAGAGGCAGGGTCACATCTGGCTGGGGCCCAGGGAGCGCAGACACGTCAAAGAGAAAAGAGCTTCATTAAAAGCCGCACAAAGAAACAAAAGCAGCACGGGACATCCCTCTTCCACTGCAGACGGGGAGGGGAGGACAAGAGCCGGCAGGGCAGCAGAGCCCCTGGCACGTTTGGATTAAGAGGATTGGTTGCAAGAGGCCCTCGGAGCCCAGAGAGGAGCTGCCTAGGTACTTTGCAGATCCCTTCCCTGTAAGCTCACCCGATGCCCATAAAAAGCTTTGAAAGTGTCCACGGCAGGAGTGGTTACTGCTCGTGTTCATCAGGGAAAAATGCACTGAATTCATCCTGCTGAGGATCCGTCCTTTAAACTCGGGTCTACAAAAGGCAGCACATTCCTAGAGGAAGAGAGTAGAGGGAGGGGCGGGGGAAGGGGGGCTTCTGGGAAACCACTGGCTCCGGGCTGGGGGAGGCTCATCTAGCCGTCATCTGTTGCCAACCTCTCGTTAAAGTACCTCTGACTGTCCGAGCAAGGCTTTTTTTACCTTCTTTGGGGCCTGGACCCCCTGGACAGTCAGTCTGGCCAAGCTGGAGACCCCTCTCCCAATCATGTTTTAAAGGCATAAAATAAAATGCAGAGGCTTACAAAGAAACCCAAAGGTTAGTAAAAATAGAGGTAAGGGTGTGGTTTTTCTCCCCATCCAAGTTCATGGACTATCTGAAACGTCCCTATGGACTCTGGACCCCAGGTTAAGAACTCTGCCTTTGGAGCCTATTTGCACTTGGTGAGCCTAGGGTGGCGAGCAGAGGCAAGGGCCTGGTACACCAGCCACAAGGAATGCAGGGTGCATTCCCAGCAGCTCCCAGTCAGATCTCATGAAGGGCAGCAGAAAGAGCATTGGATTTGAGGCCAGGGGGGTCATCTCTCTGACCTGCTGACCGAGGCCCAGCACTGGGGCTCTCTGGGCCTGGGGGGAGGCCTGCCAGTAGAGCTCGAGCCCCGTTACAGCAGGGAGCCTCTTATTTTTGTCTATCTTACTCCCCGCACCTATCACAGTGACAAGCACACGGCCTCTATCTGCAAGAACTTGGACAAATGCAAGTCAGCTGCGTCCCATTTCCCTCATCTATTCCCTAGTTTCCTTCAAGGCTACAAATAAGAAAGACAGTCCCTGGCCTCAAGGAACTTACAGTCTAACCTGGGAAGACAGCATGCAGAAGGAGGCTGGAAAAGGAGGGGCACCGGGGGTACCTGGCATGGCATCATGTCCCATGGAGCCCAAACCAAGCAGAACTGTAGATGGGAAGTGAAGAGTGAGCCGGAGATTCCAGATCACAGCCCTCTCCAAAGAAGGCTGGTATACAACCAGCCAAGTGATCACCAAGCATTTATTAAGCACTCGCTGTATGCCAGGCTCTGGGTTAAGACACAAAGAAAGGCAAAAAACCAGCCTCAGTGCTCAGAACAGTGTCTGGCATATAGCAGGTGCTTAATAAATGTTTACTGAATTGAATCGACTCCTACCTCGCCAGGCTGCTGGGAGCAGTGTGCTTCGTAAACCCGAAAGCATCAGAAGAATGGGAATGATCACGTTCAGAAATCTTCAGAATTTGTTCAATGAAGTAAACATCCTGGTGATCTTGCTGGCAATACTCACCGGATGCCCACCGGGCCTGATTCTAGGGCAGGAGCCCTGTGTGGAGGAGGGGAGCCACTCTGGTCCTCAGTCACCCCTTCTGAAGTTCACACTGCCCAAAAATCATTCCTTGAGCACCTGATGCCTCCGTGCTTTCAGACAAGCCCAGAGGAGCTGAAGCACCACTCCCTGCCCTTAAGAACTCACTGAGCTGCAGGGAAGCCAGGGCTCACTAGGATGGCTTGCTGGAGGCCTCAGCAGCGGCTCTCTCTCCAAGAAGCTGCTCTGGTTCTCCTCGCCCTAGCTACCTAGCAGGGGCAGGTCCGCACTCCGGGCAGTCCATGGCGTCAGCGATGCAAATGAACCTGACTTGGAAGGAAAGGTCGCCTTAAAAAGGTTCCAGCTGCTGGTCTCTTTCTGGCAAGAATCTGGACCTAGAATAGAGGTTTCTGAGCTTTTTTGTGAGATGGATCTGTGGACCTCTGGTCATACCAGTTTTTAAATGTCTAAAATAAAATACACAGGGCTACAAAGAAAACCAATCATATTGAAATGTGATTAAAATACAGTAAAGACAAGCTGAGAGAGACAGAGGGGTGAGTGTGAGTGTGTGTGTGTGTGTGTGTGTGAGAGACACGTGGTGGTGTGGGAAAGGTAGCATTGCCCAGCCATAACGACCACAGGCAGCTTCACTCTTAGAGGATGCATGACAGCACCACCAGGGCAAGGTTCCATGGCAAAAAACTCTAAATCCAACCGACAACCTTTTTTTTGGGTCAAGGCTCTTTGCCTCTGTTGTGTCCCAGGGCCCTTGGGCCCAGAACCGTCACTCTGCTGCAGCTTATGGAACTCCTCTTGGAATGACATTTTTAAATGCATAAAATGAAGACGACAGTACTATAAAGAAAACCAATTCTGCTGAAATACCGAGATCAACCCAATTGTAAGAAAAAGCAGTTCCTAGACCCCGGGTGAGAACCTCTGCTGGTCATCTGCATTGCAGAGCCCTTTGTAAGCTTCTTCCCAGAGACTTTAAAGTATTGCTAGACTCCCCAGGCCACTGGGAGAGAGAGAACAGAGCTCCCGGCTGGAAAAGAGTGAAGTTAGCTGGACCAATGACCTCATCTTCTGAAGGATCCCTTTACGCCAGTGGGTAGGTGCCCACAGAGAAAGGCCTAGGGGAAAGGACAGAAGAGGAAAAGCAGGGCACTGAGGCTCCAACAGCAGAATTATTTTCTTAATAATTGGAATTATAGAGCACTCTGAGTTTTGAAAAACATCTAGCATCCAAGATCTCATTTGCTCTCTGTGAAAAAAACCTGTAAGGGAGGCAGTACAGATTATTATTGATGCCCTTTTACAGATAAGGAGACTGAGGCTTAGACAGCTAATGAGTGTTGAAAACAGTATTAATCCCAGCTCTCTCCTGATTCAGTCTCGGGCTCTCTCCATGACACCTCACTGCCTTCTCTTCCATGTTATTTCATTTTTTTCACAAACAATACTGATCTTCTCCTAGGGTGCTGTGTCACCCTGAGATGGTATGCTCTGTAAGTGTAAAGGCTAGCTTCAGGATATGGCACACACACCGTTCATAAGCAGCGGTGTTCCGTGATTAGGGTGACTGAGATAAAGGACATAGGAGGTAATCTACCAGAAAAACGGCAAGGTCGTTCAAGTTGAGGTCCTTCACCTGAGGTCCACAGATGCCCCAAGAGGACCATGGAGAGATTTCGGGGGCTCTGTGAACTTTGATGGAGGATAAGAATACCTCTTCCTTTTCCCTAGCCTCTAACTAGAACCGAACCTTTCCTTCAATTATTTGAAATCAGGATGCTGAGAAAACCTCTAGGCTTGACCAGACTGCCAAAGGCAGGAATTCTTGTTGTAGAATACAAGATCTAGAGCCAAATCCCATCCCATCCCCACTTCCTACCTCTCTGGGCCTCAGTTTCTCCATTTGTCAAATGGACGGAGTACACAACCAGATCTCTCAAACTTCTTCTAGTTCTAAATCTAGAATCCTCCCAATAACTCGGCAAGAGAGGTCATGCCTATTGAATCCACTTAGCCTCAAAGCAAGGAGAATTTGGACTCCTAAAAATCCTGGCTGGAAACCCTGGCCTAGCTTCAGTCCGGAATGGCTGTATAAAAAGCCCTCGTCAATGGACGAACCCTGCAGCCTGGCCACCCCTCCCAGTGTTGGGCCATGCACTGCACCTCCAAACATCTCTCCAGCACATCCCCTTTTCTGCATTCAGCCAGCCGTCGTCCTGGTCCAGGCCTCATCACCTCGTGCCTGGGCTCCCGACCCTGTGCCCCCACTACACTCCCACCTGCCTAGGTGTTATTCCTAATGCTTGGCTTTAACATGAGACTCCAGGGCTCAGCAAGCTGCAGGGGCTCCTTCTCACCTCCAGGATGAGGCACCAACGCTTATGTTTGTTTGGCCCCCCAGCCGAACTTTATTTTTGCCATTAATGGCCTCTACAAACAGTTATCCTGACATTCATGCTATTTCTAACAAATGATAACTTCATTTCCCACCTCTGAGACTTTGTCCTGTTGGCTCCTCCTCAGTTCTGCCTTTTCTCAATGCCTGGTCTCCTTCAATACTCCTGTCTCAGGCCTCTTTGGCCCCCAAGCTGGTGATGTCTTTCCCTCTACGTTCTCCCTGCCCTTGAAGGTTCCTGGAGTGCTCAAGGGCAGGGACAATTTGTGTCTTGGTATCCCCAGCACCCAAGAGAGTGCCTGGCACATAGCAGGTGCTTAATAAACGTTCACTAATTGATCAATGGATGCTACTGATCTATGAAGCTCGACCGATGGAAATATTACCTTCCACGGTAGTATCAACAAGAAAGGAAGAGGATCCACCGCAAAGAAGACATATTCATATCGCAAAATAGGCTCTGCAGCCACAGGGGTCATGAGGAAATGAATACCACTGAGGTCGGAGCCCGGCCCCGGGGTAGGTGAAGGAAAGGTGTTCTGTTCTTACGTGATATATTTGTTGTAGAGGATGAAGGCATGCTCGATGTTGCCTTCCTCAGAGTAAATGGACGCCATGCGGATGATCTCCACTCCTGAACGAAAGTACCGGCGGGGCGGAACATCTTCGTTGACCTCCACCGCACTGCCTACCTGGATGAGGGCTCTGACCCTCTCGTCCGGGGGGAGGCTCACATCCCCGTGGTCAGGCATCAGGGCCAGGTCGTTCTGCAGCAGGAAAGAGAAAGCAAGTGGTCCTTAGAGACTTCAGCCACCTCGCTCACCCAATCACAGACTCCCCAGAGGGGTCACTGGTCCAGCCTTGGCCTGAATCCCTCTGGGGAGGCTCCCAAGGAAGCCCATCGCCATTTTGAGCAGATCCAATGGCTAGAAGTCTTTCCTCACATCAATAACCACCACCACCACCATAAGGATAGCCACCATTTCTACAGTGCCCACTCTGTGCCAGGCCCTGGGGCAGGGGCTTTACAATGATTAGCTCATGGGACCCCCACAACACCCTGGGAGGGAGGGGCTGGTATGCCAAATGTCTCTTCCTGCAGCTTCCCCCAGCTGACCCCTTGGGAGTCGGGCAGAACAAGGCTAATGCCTTGATCTAACAGCTCTTCCAAAGCTTCCAGAGAGCTGCCCCATCCCCCGCTTGGCCAGTCCTCCCAGGGTCTCTTGGATATTCTCCCAGTGGGCTGGAAGCACTGCGGTCTGTCAGGGTCACCCCCAGTGTGGTCTGGCCAGGGCAGGGCAAGGGGAGGAGTCACAGTCATCGGTTCCTCACTCTGCACAAGGTTCCTATTGATTCAGCCCGGGACGGTCTTGCCATCACACTGATGACTCTTACTAAACTGGCTGTCCACTAAAACCCCGAGATCTTTTTCAGAACCGCTGTTCAGCTCGCCTTCTCTACAGCTGACAAGTGTCAATCCTTCCCACCTTCTCATCCATAAGCAGTTATCACAACCTGAAGAGGACCAATCATCACCACTAGGAAGAACATGGACAAGGGAACCAGGGAAGAGGAAAGCGTGGGACGATAGCAGCCTTCAGATATTCAGGGGCCTGTCACGCGGAAGAGGGTTTGCCTTGTTCTTCTTGGACCCAGGGAGCCGAGAAGCTGAGTCAATGGGTAGAGTTTCAGAAAGGGGGCTTTAGGCTTTAGGCAGGAAGGTCCTTTTTTGACATTTTGGGCTGTCCTGAAGTGGGATGGATGGCCAGGCTATGTGACTCTAGTCAGGTGTGTTGGAGTACAGTGTTCAGACAGGGCCTGGTCTAGATGGCGTCCACAAGGGCTCCCACCCTGAGATGCTGTGATCAGAAAAGGAGGAATCTCCCACTGAAGGGGCAAAAGTAGGAAGGGCACCTGCCCCAGGCGTAAGGGCAAAGAAGGTGGTTCCTTCTCCCACTCCCCTCCTTCACCACCAGGGGGCTCCCGCCCTTCCCAATCGCAAGGTCAGGAGCAGTGTCCAATTTTTCCAGGGTCTCCTCACGCTGGGCTTTTAGTGTATAGTGTACAGCACTGTCTGAGAGGAAGCTTACACCACTTTATTGAGTCTGCTGGAGGCTGGATTTCTCTGTGGCTAATTGTGTAAATTTGGGCACGGGGGAAGCAGAAGAAGCAGCTGACTAGGTCTCGCTATCCCTCTGTCCACTCCTTCCATTAAGTCCACATCACCCATCTTAGCACAGCAAGGAATTTAAGACTCGAAAGCAAGATTTCAGTCAAGCCTGTCTCTGTTAAGTAATCTCTGAAGAGCGAAAGGGCAGGTAATTGCCTTAGAACGCAAGACACTGTCCTCTGCCTCAGGGCCCAACTAGGCTTGACAGAGAACATCAAAACACCACTGCAAAGATTATGATACCCAGACTGTCGTTGGGATTGAACGCTGAAGTCACCGATAAGCCTTGGGGATTCTATTTGAAATTCCCTATTGAAGGAGGTTGACTCCTGAAACTAGATGGAAGTGCCAGTAAGTTAAGCTACTCATCTACCAGCTTGCTCTGCTGAAGATTTACAACGTATGAGTTCTCACTCTGGCATTCAATGCCTTCTGTGGACTGGCCCTGCCTTAGCACTTCGGCCTTGTTCCCACTTCTCCCTAAACTCGAAGGGCTCTGTCAGCCTCACCTCCTTTTCATCTTTCAGCTCTGACTGAAGCTGGACTCCACACAGCTTCCCACCAGAAAGGCTTTTCTTTCCCAAGCCAAATTCCATTTCTTCTGATACCTAGTTCACAGGTCCTCCAGGAGGGCTCCCTAGTCCAACTGTAGGGGCACTGGCTGGGAGTGGGGGGGGCTCATTTAAACAATGCCCTTCCTTCTACCAACGAGCAAACGTGGGCCCTGAGAAGGCAAGGGCCTTGGCTGAGGCCATGCAGCTAATAACTGACATTCCCAGACACAGACTTGTCCGTATGGACTTTGGACAAGTCACTGCTCGAGCCTCAGTTTTCACTCTGTAAAAGGAGAACATCGAACTAGATGTCTTCTAAGGTCCCTTCAAGTCTTACTGCTATGATTCAACAAAAGTCACTCCAACTTCAAATGTGTTTTTCAATGAAACCAATCACTTGGGATTTGTACAAGTGCTTAGAAATAAACATGCCTGCAGAGAGTTGGTGGGGCACTTAACTAAGGTCATTTACAGATGAAGCTTGAGCAGTGCTACACACACACTGTAAAGACTGGGGTCAAAGGACCTGGGTTCAGATCTGGACTGTACTTGTTATGTACGTCCCTTTGGGCAAGTCATTTCAGCTCTGGGCCTCGGTTTCCTCACCTGCAAAACAAGTTAAACCGAGAAATCTCTAAAGGCCTACCTAGCCGTAAGCCTACGATCCTGTGGAAGGAGAACGTCAAAAAGATGGAAGGCAGAACAAATGGGACAGGTCTGCAATATTATCTCTGAAGTCTCCCCATTGCTAATAGTGGAATCATCACAAGCTACTCCACACCTCAGTTCAGTAACCTGTGTGCCACATGAGAAAGAACAAATAGGACTCAAGATGACGTAACAAAAAGTGGTTAGACCCAGGCAAGTAGAGAGGAGAAATCTGTGCTAACATTATTTTGAAAGCACTGAAGGATGAGCTCACAAGCTAGCTATCTCGAAGGGAAGTCGGGAACCAAACAACAAGAAAATCACAGATAGTGTTCCTCCCTGAAAAAGGACATAGCAGCCACTGGCTCACCGTGAGCCTGCTTTGTCATCTCTAGACAAACTTTCTGAAAGATCTCCCTCCTCTAGGCAGAGAGGTGGAGGACTGAGCAGGGGAAGATGGGTGGCTAGTCAGATGTGGCCACCATATCAGTTGGTCTGGCTTTAGTAAACAAGGGAGGGTTTATTTAACGCTAGGGGAGGAGAGAAGGAAGCTTATCCAGAGATGACAGTGACATAAAAACAAAAGGCAGGGCAGCTAGGTGGCGCAGTGGATAGAGCACGGGCCCTGGAGTCAGGAGGACCTGAGTTCAAATTCAGCCTCAGACACATGATACTCACTAGCTGTGTGACCCTGGGCAAGTCACTTAACCCCAACTGCCTTGTCAAAAAAGCAAAATGAACAAACAAACAAACAAACAAAAAAACAGGGCAGCTAGGTGGTGCAGTGGATAAAGCAGTGGCCCTGGATTCAGGAGGACCTGAGTTCAAATCCAGCCTCAGACACAAAACACTTACTAGCTGTGTGACCCTGGGCAAGTCACTTAACCCCACTGCCTAACGAAAAAAAAAAGGCACAGATAACTTTTTTTTATAAAGATCTTGGTGAGAATGATTCGTACATATACACAGAGAGTACTCTTGATGAAAAGGTGAGACAGCTGGTTTGTAAACCACAAACAAACCACAGAATTAACTGAAAAGAATAGAAAATATAAGAAACTATGGTTTATCTACTGATTACAAAACTGTGTTTGAGGAGGCAGAAGAGGCAGCCTTCAAGGCTTTCCTCCAACATCTTTCAGCCATACGCGAAGACTAAACTCTGAAAAGCTTTAAGAAAGTGTCTTGTTCTTTGCTCCTCTGATCACCGGCCCAACAAGGACACCTTTACAAAGGGAGAGAGTTGGAAGCCGGCCTAATACGCTCACCACTGTCCTGGACGATGTCCAGCACAGGATTCGGACGAAAAGAGGATCCCCTGGAGATGGTGGAGTCCTCCCAGTGCCTTTTGTGGAGACTCTGTGTGACTGCATCAAGCCCCAGCGGATTCCTAACAGGGTGTCTTCAAAAGTCACTCAAGAGACCAATCCAAAGGCACAGACGAGAAAGTTAAACAGATGAAACATGCCTACTGTCCAGACTAGGACAAACTGTTGTTGGCTGAATTAATCCGTCAGTCAACAAGTATTTATGAAGTACTTACTACGTGCCAGGCACTGCACTAAGTGCTGGGAATACAAAGAAAGGCCAAGACAGTCCCTGCCCTCAAGGAGCTCACAGTCTACCAGGAAAGATAAAACAAAAGCAACTATGTACAGGTGATATATGCAGGATGAATGGGAAATAAGCCACAGAGGATGGCATGAGAATTACGGGGGCTCAGAAGAGGCTTCCTGGGCAAGGTTGGACTTCAGTGGGGACCTGAAGAAAGCCGAGCAGCTCAGGAGACGCAGATGAGGAGGTAGAGAGTTCCAGCCATGGGGGAGAGTGAGGGGGAATGGCTGAAGTTGGGAGATGGAAAGTTTTGTTTCAGGATCAGCAGTGAGGGCAGTGCCTGCATCGTAGGGTACGTGAGGGAGCAAAGTAGAAGACGACTGGAAAAGGGGGAGGAGTCAGGTCAGAAAGGGCCTGAGAAGCTAAACTGTTGTTCAATTGTTTCAGTCACGTCCAACTCTCCACGACCCCATTTGGGGTTGTCTCGGCAAAGACACTGGAGTGTTCTGCCATTTCCTTCTCCAGCTCATTTAACAGATGAGGAAACTGTGGCAAACAGGGTGAAGTGACTTGCCCAGAGTCACAGAGCCAGGAAGTAACGAAGGCCAAATTTGAACTCAGGTCTTCCTGACTGCAACCCCAGTGCTCTATCCACTGTACCACCTAGCTGCTAAAAAAACCAAATAGGGCATTTTATATTTGATCCTGGGGGTAACAGGGAGCCATTGGAGTTTTATTACAGAGGGTGAGAAGAGAGGCATGACACTACCACACCTGTAATTTAAGAAGAATAGTTGGGAAGGAGGGCCTGTAATAGCTTGGTCACAGGGTCACAGGGAAGTTGTTATGAAGTCAGAACCAACCGGGCTTGCCAACAGATTAGATACGTAGGCTGGTAAAGAGTGAGGAGTCAAGAATGGCACGTGGTATCCTCAGGAGTTAGAGGGAAATGAGGAGGAGGGGAGGTCTCGGGAGAAAAGATAACGAGTGTGGTTCTGGACGTGTGGAGTTCAAGACGTCTGCCAGGCAACACCCAGTTTGAGACGTGCAATAGGCAGTTGGAGATGTGAGCCTGGAGGTTAACAGAGAGGTCAGGGCTGGAAAAGGCGATCCAGGAATCATCAGCACTAGAAATCATCATCGAATCTATGAGAGTTGATAAAATCACCAAACAGAATAGTACAGAAAGAGAAGGAAAGGGGGCCTCAGGAAAGGGCCTTGCAGGTCACTGCATTGAGAGTGACCCGGCTGAAGATGCATCAGCTTGGATGTCTGAGGTAGATACCACTGAGGACAGGAGCTGGCGCCAGAACTGAAGAGCAGGAGAACAGGCAAGATAGTGCCAGGGAAAATGTACAGGCCTTCCCAAGACCCCAAGCCTAACCTTCTTAATGCCGATCTTCTTCAGGGGATGCTGAGGGATGACTTGTCTGGTACGGGGAAAGGACTACAAAGTGGAGGCGGGCCAACACCTGCATGGCATGTCTGAAGGTGCCCAAACACCTCCAAACACCTTCAGCACGGCCACCGAGGGCCTCCTGCTGGGAGCTCTGAGCTTGGGCTCTGCACATAATAGGTGCTTTGAGGCCCTTTGGATCCAAGCCTCAAAGTGACACTCGGAAGGAACCTTACAGGGAGCCAGGCCAAACCTCTCATTTTACAGAGGGGGAAACTGAGGGAGGGGGAGGAGAGAAGGTGATAGAGAGTCCCAAGGAAAAGGGGGAACATGAGGGAGAGGGAGGAGGAGCCTGACAAGGACAGGATGAGGAAGGGAGACAGAAAGAGAGAGAGAGTGGCAGAGGGACAGAGACAAGACACAGGAGATGGAGAGGAGAGAGACAGGCAGACACTGGAAGAGACAGGGAGAGACAGAGAGACTCAGAGAGGGAGAGAGATGAGACACAAGGAGAGACAGGGTGTGACAAGAGACAGAGAGTGAACAGAGACAGACAAGGAGAGAAAAGAGACAGAGAGACAGA